TTAAAACTAGCCTAAACAATTTTTAATTGCTCTATTTATAAACTGTTTTACTTACTCTCTGAACTTAATTTTACCAGTGGGAATAATAACAGTGATCCATTCAAAGCAGAATACAAGAGGTTAAATACTTAAGATAATTGAAGTAGTGAGTAATTGAGTAGTTATTTACTAGTAAATAACTCAGTGGCTTTTAACATAGTAACTGCATGTTAAAATATCAGTTTTAGGGCCCATAGACTCATAAACTGGACTGACCTGATAGTCCCCTTCCTGAAGACTAGCTTACATGGTATTAGAAGACATCATGCAAGTTTCCAAAGAGAGGGGGAACTAACATTCCCTACCTAGCTTTGATGACTATGAATCACATAAACAACCAGCATGTCATTATTATCCTAAAGGTGAAGTAGTGTCAAATATACTTTGGTTGTAACCAACAGCTCTCTAAATGGACTTAAGACATTTCTTTTTTAAAAAATTTTTATTGGATATTTTATTTATTTAGTATACAGATGTCACCCCCTCTCCTCATTATGCTCCCTAAAACCACCTATTCCATCCCCCCTCCTCCTTTATGCCTTTATACCATTTTAATTACATGCATGTATTAAGGTCAGTTCTAGATTGAGGGTCTACAACACAATAGATGCAAATAGTCAAGGAACAAGCAAGACAATAAACACAAATAGTCAAAGAAAAAGCAAGGCATTAAGCCCAATTACATGAACTTACATGATAACTTACATGAATTACATGATAACTGTTTCTAAGGGCTTATCAGGATGACCAAAGTATCTGAGCTTACTTCCCTGTCCTAGCACAAGGTTATTTTCATGTCTGAAACCTACTTCCTTGTTCTAGCCTAAAATTTAGAATACTGTCTGAAATTACTTCTTTGTTCTAGCCTAAAATTTAGATTCCTGCGTAAAATTACTTCTTTGTTCTAGCCTAGGGTTTAGATTCCTGCCTGAAATTACTTCTAGCCTAATGTCATATTCCTGACAAGCAGCCCATTTCTTTGTCCTTGGCTCATGTCAGACTCTTGCCAAGCAACCCCAAAGTCCCTCTGCCTCTCCCCCTTTTTTTATTTCATTAACAAGACTGAGCCTTTCTTAGGTCATTCTGACAAGAATGCCTTTCTTACCTGTCATGGAATATGCAGTATTAAAAGCAATTCACTTATGTCTTAGGTTGGTAAGGCTCTGTGCAGAATCTTACCCATCCTTGGCTTGCCAACCTGTTAATTTAATAATTTTATCTGGGGTATCATTTTCAGGTACAAGACATGGACTTTAGCTGTCAATATGTTGATGTTGTTAAAGAAAAGCTTAAACATGATGGGCAGGAATAAAAGTTGTCCCAGGACAAAAAGGGCGATTTAGGACTTTCTTAACAAGAAGAAAACCATGCCCAGTATTGAAAAATCTATCTAACTACTCAATGACAGTGAATTTTAGTCATTGGAGAAGAATCTACAACCAGTAATTTACTAAATCAGCATAATCCCAACAATCTATAATATTTATATCTAGAGGTAAGTATAATATCCAACCCTTGTCAAGGAAATTTTATTCCTTGCAACAGAGACCCTACAGAAAACCACAATCAATGTTAATGGAAAGTTTTAGAGCCAAGTTCCAATGGATACACATACAAAACACTCCCAATCTAAACAACAACAACAAAAATACTCCCAATCTAAGCTCAAAGAACATTTCAGAAGAGCTGATGTAAAGACCATAAAAGCCAGAAGGTCAGGGAACTTTGCTGTGAGAGTGTGTCTCCTACTGATATCAGAAGCTGAACCCATAAAATCTCACCATCATGATATACCAAACTGGAGCTGAACAAGGATGACAGTAATGAATATACTAAAATGAACAGGGAAAAGCCATGAGGCCTCAGCTCTACCCAAAGAACTATAGAAAACTGAAGAATGTTGGGATTCAGAGAGGTGATCATCCCCAGGGAAGAGCACATCAGTTGGCTACCTAGTGACAAACAGCCCTAAAAACATATGATGAGGAGCATTATATAGAATGAACAGTTTAAATATAGGAATATGTTTATATATACACAATATGCATACAAAAACAGTTAATAAAGAGAGACTATGAATTTAAAGGAAACTATTGAGGGGTATAATGGAGGATTTAAGAGGAGAAAAAGGAAAGAAAAATAATCATTAATTAAAATGTGAAAAAATATTTTATCATCAAAGATAACCACAAAGATAATTTTTAATCAATAAAATGTGTCATTTTTTTCTTAATTTATATAAATGTAAGTTTTGATTTACATCCTTCTTAGGTCCAATCATGGAATACATACTCTTTCAACATTAAGTAATAATTGATATGGTTCAATATCTTATTAAATGATGTTTAGCAATATATACTCTCCTCACACAATGATATAGTTATATACTAAATAATTTTTATGATTAGAAAAAAATGATACAAAGAGAAATTAAATAAGCTCTTAGGATATAGCTGGATTCATGTGGTTTTGCCTATTGTATATTTTATACAATTTGAATGTATTAATGCTGAGACTTAATTTTCCATGCCATTGTAAAGAATCTGTGAGTTATGCTTCCATAACATATTTAAATTTTACTTCTCATGGGGCTGGAGAGATAGCTTAGTAGTTAAGAATACTGGTCTTCCAGGGGACATAGTTTCAATTCCCAGCATCCTCATAATGATTCATAGCTATCCATAACAGCAGTTCCATGGGACTGGACATCCCCTCTTCAGACCTCTTCGATAACTGGTATACATTATTTCACATAACTCATACATGCAAAAACTCATGTACATAAAGTTTAATATATAAATTTAAAATATCTAAATAAAATCTAAGGAATTGTGATTTATTATAATGCAGTAACAATATTCAAAGACATATCACCTGAACTCCAGATAGAAACTTGTCAATCAGCCAGGCGGTGGTGGCACATGCCTTTAATCCCAGCACTTGGGAGGCAGAGGCAGGTGGATTTCTGAGTTCGAGGCCACCCTGGTCTAAAGAGTGAGTTCCAGGACAGCCAGGGCTACACAGAGAAACCCTGTCTCGAAAAACCAAAAAAAAAAAAAAAAAAAAGAAACTTGTCAATCACTAGGATCATTTAATTTATTCATATTTTATTCATACATGTACAGGTAAAAGCAAAAGCATAAATATGCTACTTGTGACATTTTTATTTTTCATTTAAAAAATCAGAAATTCAAACTCCAAGATTATACTTTTTAGAATACATTCATAGTCAAGAAAAATTAGTATTAGCTATTTTGAAGCTTTACAGTACATGAGCTACTTAATAAAAATAATGTATTAATTCTTTATAATCCTAGAATAGTATTTGTCCATTCCCTTTCTCCGATATTGTGGAGTAAACAAAGGTAGATGTTAGAAATTGCAGGAGAAATAAACGAGATCAAGGGTGACTCAGTAGACTTTGAAATTGTGAAACTGTGTTAGGTGTTATGGTGCTTAGTTTAAACTGGCAGTTGGACACAATCTAGAGCTTAAAAGAGATTATCAATAAGGGATGTCTAAATCAGCTTGTTCTGTGGTCATGTGTTTGTGTGTGGTAGTATTTTGATTATATCAGTATATGTAGGAAGCTGTAGCATTAAAGTGGGCAGCACCATTTCCCGGACTCTGCAAGAATAGAGAAAGCTGAATACCAAGCATGCACACATTTCTCTCTGTTCTTGATTGTGGATGTGATGTGTCTAGCATTTTCAAGGGATCCTGCCAAGATTTGTCTTGTGATGAGTTGAAAATAAGACAGTTGTTCATCACTGGAACTTGTCTATCTCTTTTGCAACATAAGAAACATCATCCTTACCTACCAAACCTTGCTGTCTTCTCTGATCATGCATTATCTACTTCTATCTTCTCCATAAATTTTCCTATTGTCACTATATCCATAAGGCTCCCAGATAGAAATATATTTTGGTAAAATGAAACATGGTGTATTGTCTGCAATAAGCCTGACTTTAGGCACTGCCATAATAAAATCTGAACCCTAGCAGCATATACATAAAGATAGACAGCAGCACTCATGGGGGTCAAGATGCTATGTGGGTCTCTGATTTGTCAGAGCATATGTGTCATCTAACACAGTTTCTGTTTCAAAACAAATTCTCTTCTACTTATAAGAACATAATAAAGGTTTCTGGGGTAATACCAAATATGGAATGTTACAAAAGAATAATTAATGTGAAAGCAGACAGGAAAGCCAGCTGTTTCCCTTAAACAAATGTGTTTCAGAGATCTAAGAAAATGGAAAAGGACATTTTCCTGTTACTAAAGTATATTTTTATGCTAAAACAAATATACCACTGTATTAAATTGCAATAATCTTCTTCATCATCATTAGTGAGTTAGTTACTAGCACAGTTAAGAATGACAGTTGAAAACCTCTTTGGCGTTTACTAAAACAAGGAATGTGCATAATTCCTGAGAATAGGAAATTGAATTATCCAAAGGAGAAAAATAGTAGATGGTAAAATATACATAGAAATGCTATAATATAATGGACATTATATAATATAACATCATAATATATAATATAACATCAGTTCATAAGTATATAAGATCTTAGGTTTTCAGAAAAGCATTTAATACATTTAAACTTCTTTAAAAATACTCAAATGTTGCTTTAGACAACACGAGTTATTTTATTCTGATGCCAATATATGATAGTTGTTTAGTTTAGAAATAGCACTTAGAAAACATGTGCCCCTCTCTTTGTGTACATTCAATTAAACATGTTAAAAAAATTAACTAAAACATTAAGATTTTTTGACTATTCAGAGTACCACAAAAGAAAATCAAAGTCTATTTGAAATTACTATTGAAGTATTATAAATTAGGAAATATTTTCATAAATATTTGTAACAAGGCCTCCGTGATCCCCAGAAAATGGTTTTAAAACATTGTGTTAAATTCACAAAGAATTTATAAAATATTATATTAAAATATATTACCATAAATGACAACATTTTCATCACAGCATCCAGAAACTGAACTTTCCTGCGTTCTTCAATGTTTTCAGGAATTGGTATATAAATACAATAAGCAAAGAGAATGCAAAACAACCCAAAGCACAGAGTTTTGTATCCCATTGTACGTCTTTCTTTAACTTCTGTGCAGTGATGAGTGTCATCCTACACACAGACTACTAAATATTATGTCAAAGGGCTTAAGCAAAGTCTTTGACATGCAACAATCATTTAGCAATATTCACCTGTAGAGGCCATATAATTATAATGGTTTTGTAATTACATGGCTAGTGAACAAAATTTATTATCACATATCTAAATATTAAACAACATTATGATAGCAGCTGTCTGTTCCTTCTTAACCATACAGTGTCAACAAAGCATAACGAAGTAGAACTCTTGCCAGAGCATACAAATGAGAAGGAAATACTATTTTACAAATATTTTTAAATATGCTGTACATATACAGGGTCTCCACAGTTTCAAGGATGAGGCAGGGAAGAATGTCCCAACAATAAGTAGAAGTGAACTTCCACCCCTAATCAAGATACTATCTGCAATTGGCATCAATGTTGCAAAATAAAATATAGTTTCTTTCAATGGAGTCTAATTGGTTATATTAATCACACTTAAAAGTAGACCTCATGTTTAGCAGGAGATGGTAAACACAAAATGAGACTGATGGCAGTTTTGCAAACTTTTTTGTCTGAATATTACTTTATTTGAGCATATCACTCTGTTGCTGGGTTATTATGATTTGTGAATTTGTGGTATTCTGTTTTGTTTCTCTCTCTCTCTCTCTCTCTCTCTCTCTCTGTGTGTGTGTGTGGGGGGGGGTTCTTTTTTTTATTTCTTGTTGTTGTCATTGTTTTCTTCTGGTTTTATTGCCTGTTTGATATCTAAAAAGAGAAATGAGGCTTTTGGCTGGGGCAGACACCTAGCTGGTCTGCTCCTGTGGAGACACCATATCCTGAGCCATCCTAGAGGAACCACTGCACTCAGAGCAGCAGGATTTCAGGATCCCAGAGGTGGCCTGAGTCCCAGGAGTTTTTCCACTCAGGAGAATAGGATCACAGGATCACAGAATCACAGAGACATCTGGACTCTGAGGAGTTCTCACACAGTAAGATAACTGGAAAGACAGACTCCAGTCAGACACAGTGAGTTCAGGTAAAACTAAAGTTAACCAGATGGTGAAAGGCAAGTGCAAGAACATAAGCAACAAAAACCAAAAGTTACTTGGCATCATCAGAACCCAGTTCTTCCACCATAGCAAGACCTGGACACCCCATCACACTGGAAACGCAGGATTCAGAATTAAAATCACTTCTCATGATGATGATGATGATAGAGGATTTTAAGAAGGACATAAATTGCCTTAAAGAAGTACAGGAGAACACAGGAAACAGGTAGAAGACCTTAACTAGGAAACACAAAAATCCCTTAAAGAATTGCAAGAAAACACAATGAAGGAATTAAACAAAACCATTCAGGATCAAAAAATGGAAATAAAAACAATAAAGAAATCTCAAAGGGATTTGAACTCAAAGGTACTTTGAATCTCAAAGGGACGACCCTGGAGATAGAAAACCTAGGAAAGAGATCAGGAGTCATAAACGCAAGCATCACCAACAGAATACAAGAGATAGAAGAGAGAATCTCATGTGCAGAAGATACCATGGAAAACATTGACACAACTGTCAAAGAAAATACAAAATGCAAAAAGCTCCTAACCCAAAACATACAAGAAATGCAGGGCACAATGAGAAGACCAAGGATAATAGGTATAGATGAGAGTGAAGATTCCCAGCGTAAATGGCCAGTAAATATCTTCAACAAAATTATAGAGGAAAACTTCACTAACCTAAAAAGCAAGATGCCCATAAACATACAAGAAGACAACAGAACACCAAATAGACTAGACCAGAAAAGAAATACCTCTCGTCAAATCATAATCAAAGCATCAAATGCACAAAACAATGAAAAAATACAGTAAGGGAATGAAAAATAAAACAGTAAGGGAAAAAGATAAAGTAACATATAAAGGCAGACCTATAAGAATTACACCAGACTTCTCATCAGAGACTATAAAAGCCAGAAGATCCTGGATTGATATCATACAGACCCTAAGAGAACACAAATGTCAGCCCAGACTACTATACCCAGCAAAACTTTCAATCACTATAGATGGAGAAACCAAGATATTCCATGACAAAACCAAATTTGCACAATATCTTCCCACAAACACTGCACTTCAAAGGATATTTGATGGAAAATGCCACCACAAGGAAGGAAATTACAACCAAGAAAAAGCAAGGAAGTAATCTTCCAACAACCCCAAAAGAAGATAGCTACACAAACATAATTCCACCTCTAATAACAAAAATAACAGGAGGTCACAATCTTTTTCTTTAATATGTCTTAACATCAATGGACTCAATTCTCCAATAAAAAGACACAGACTATCAGACTGGATACACAAACAGGACCCAGAATTTTGCTGCATAGAGGAAACGTACCTCAGTGACAAAGACAAGACACCACCTCAGAATAAAAGGATGGAAAACAATTTTCCAAATGGTCCCAAGAACAAGCTGGAGCAGCCATTCTAATATCAAATAAAATCAACTTTCAACCAAAAGTAATCAAAAAAGATAAGGAAGGACACTTCATACTCATCAAAGAAAAAATCTACCAAGATGAACTCTCAATTCTGAACATCTATGCTCCAAATCCAAGGGCACACACATACATAAAAGAAACTTTACTAAAGCTCAAAACACACATTGTACCTCACACAATAAGAGTGGGGGATTTCAACACCCCACTCTCAGCAATGGACAGATCATGGAAACAGAAACTAAACTGAGACACACTGAAATTAACAAAAGTTATGAGCCAAATGGATTTAATAGATATCTATAGAACATTTTATCCTAAAACAAAAGAATATACCTTTTTCTCAGTACCTCATGGTACCTTCTCCAAAATAGACCATATAATTGGTACAAAACAGGCCTCAACGGATAAAAAGAGATTGAAATTATCCCTTGCATCCTATCAAATCACCATGGACTAAGGGTGGTCTTTAATAATGACAAAACAAAGGGAAAACCCACATGCATGTGGAAACTGAACAACACTCTGCTCAATGATGACTTGGACAAGGAAGAAATAAAGAAAGAAATTAAAGACTTTTTAGAATTTAATGAAAATGAGGACACATCATACCAAAACTTGTGGGACTCCATGAAAGCAGTGATAAGAGGAAAACTCATAGCTCTAAGTGCCTACAAAAAAGAAACTGGAAAGAGCATACATTAACAACTTGACAGCACACCTGAAAACTCTAGAAGAAAAAAAGAAGCAAATACACTCAAGAGGAGTAGACAGCAGGAAATAATCAAACTCAGGGCTGAAATCAACCAAGTAGAAACAGAGAGAACTATACAAAATATCAACAAAACCTGGAGCTGGTTCTTTGAGAAAATCAACAAGATAAATAAACCCTTAGCCAGATTAACCAGAGGGCACAGAGACAGTATCCAAATTAATAAAATCAGAACTGAAAAGGGAGACATAACAACAGAAACTGAGGAAATTTAAAAAATCATCAGATCCTACTACAAAGGCCTATACTCAACAAAACTGGAAAATCTAGATGAAATGGACAATTTCCTAGACAGATACCAGGTATTAAAGTTAAATCAGGAGCAAATAAACCATCTAAAAGTCGCATAATCCCTAAGGAAATAGCAGCAGTCATTAAAAGTCCCCACCAAGAAAAGTCCAGGACCAGATGGTTTTAGTGCAGCATTCTATCAGACCTTCAAGGAAGACCTAGTACCAATTCTCTTCAAACTATTCCACAAAATAGAAACAGAAGGAACACTACTCAATTTGTTCTATGAAGCTACAATCACAGTCATACCCAAACCTCACAAAGACCCAACAAAGAAAGAGAACTTCAGACCATTCTCCCTTATGAATATCAATGTATTCAGAGTAATGGTAGAACAGATGGCTTAGAAAATTTGAAACCTACTGAATCCAATGAGATTAGGTAGGAAAGAAGAAAGTGAAGCTATTGTCAAAATTTCAGAATTAATTCATTAGATTCTGAAACATTAATGCAGTGTTCACCAAACTGTCAACTTAAAAATTGCTAATTCAGGTAAGTACTTGTAAAATTTTTGCAAAATTTTAAATATTGATTAAGAGAATACTTGCTGTATACTTGATTATAGCAAAAAACTTTGAGCAAACCTTGGCATTCATTCTTTCTTTGGGAAAACTTCCTCTGTCCTTTAGTATTCATTGATTTAAGACTGTATAAATGCAATCACAGAGCAAGGTCCTTACTTAAGGCAACTTCTAGGATTTCAGGGCAAGAAGGTGTCTGCACACTCTAAATTATTCCATGTAATTCTATGCTATAACCTTTACCAAACACGTTTTAATGTCTGTATGAACATCAGAATAGCTGAAAAAAAGGCCATTCTCAATTATATTTTGGGAAATGGAAGTACACAGATTAGGGATGGAAGAGGTTAGGTGATAAGGAGGCTACAAAATCTGAAGGAAATATCCCACATATACACACTGGAAAGTCAACCCAGTTTTAAAATATTAGATTGTATTTACAAAGTTCTTCCTTCCTTTTCTCCTTTCATTGACATTGAACTTGCATCAGCAGGTCTCAACCTGTGGGCCACGACCCCTTTGGGGTTCAAATGACTCTTTCATAGAGGGTCACATATCAGATATCCTATATATCAAATATTTACATTATGACTCATAAGAGTATCAAAGTTGTAGTTATGAAATAGCAATGAATATAATTTATGTTTGGGGTCATCACAGTGTAAATAACTGTATTATGGGGTTACAGTATTAGGAAGATTGAGAATCACTGACTTATATGTACCTGATGAGTCCTGTCCTCTCCATTCAGTCAGGTAAGCCATTTTCTTTCAAATTTTCAAGAATAGAATATATAGCCAATAAATATAAAAAAATAAAAATTAACTGTCTAGCATAGTCCATCTGAAGAGCAAAGAGAATATTAAAGATTCTGTTAGGTAAAGTTATGAAGAGGATTGAATTCCACTCATATTTCCTGTTGCTATGAAAAATAAGTTGACAAAAGC